TCTCACCACTTGCCTGCACCCCACGTGGGCCCTTTGAACTCACCTCACAATTGGTCATTTTCAAAGGATTCTCAAGAGTCATGATTGGGTCCCACCAAAAGTAATGAACACCTCACAGATACTGAGTGGTCAAAGCTGTAATTGTAATTGGTGCTTATGTGATGATGCTACATGTACTGTAACACCCCCATCCCTTACTCCTTAAAAACCCTGTTCGCTATTGTTCTTGGCTTCACCTTGCTGCCATGACACCGGTAGGCGGGTGAGCCCCTGCTTGAGCTTGTAATAAAGACCCTTTTGTATTTGCATCGGTGCCGGCTCCTTGGAGGTCTCTGGGACTCGCGATTCGGGCACAACAGTATGTGGTGAAACTGGGTTCAAACCCAGGTGTTTGGATTTAAGACCCCTTCACAGAGTTTTGGAGATACTAATTCTATGATCAGCTAAGCCAGTAGTTCTCAGCTCTGGCTGTGCATGAGAAACCCTCCAGGGATTTTTGAAAACGCTTCCTTTTTCTTTTTAAGTCTATTTATTTATTTTGGGGGAGGGCACAGAAGCAGGGGAGGGTCAGAGAAAGAGAGGGAGACAGAATCCCAAGCAAGCTCCACACCATCAGTGCAGAGCCTGATGCGGGGCTTCAACTCATGAACTGTGATATCATGACCTGAGCTGAGATCAAGAGTCAGATACTTAACTGACTGCGCCATCCAGGCACCCCTGGAAAGTCTTCCCACCCAGATTGCACCCTAGACCAATTAAATCAGAATCTCCAGGGGTGGGACCAGGGCATAAATAGTTTTTAAAGCTCCCCAGGTGATTCCAATGTACAGCTATATTGCAAACTGTCTGTGCTAAGCAATCCTAATTCTTTCCACCTACTAATTTTTTTTTAACTAGAAAAAAAAATTCTATTCCATTTTGTTCCTTTCCATAAGCGGCGGTTGAGAGGCCACTGTGGCTCGGTGCTACTGTCTGCATGGCTTGTCCTTTTTCCTGGAGGACGCAGCTATCTGAGGCCATCATCTTCCTATTCTGGAAGAAGGAGTGATCACTATGGTGGATCTATAATACTTAGGTCTGCAATACATTTTAGAAAGATCCTCCAAATGTAGTACTATTACCTTCAAAGGAATTCTAATACTATAGCAGAATTCAAAAGACGCCCACTGCCTTTGTTGCTGTTAAGACAAAAAAAAAAAGAAAAAGTTAACAGAAACAAAGGTGAAAGTTCACAGATTTGTATCTAAGGTGCTATCATTGAACCTGGCATTGCCACCTACTGCTTGGAAGTGTTGAGACACTGATGCTATGAAAAGGGGTGTGAAGTCACTTCCTCCATTGTGACAGGGAGGAAATTCACATTCACATTCATGGTGCAGTGGACGGAGCCCCGGGTTTCCACAGACAGGCAGACACGGGTTCACACCCCAGCTCCGCTGTTCACTAGCTGTGGGACCCGCTTTACGTCTCGGCTTCTTCATGTGGGGCTGACAAGGCTCACTGGCCAGCTTGCTTCGTTGATCAGAGAGAGCGTGTGTGAGGCACCCAGTTCTGTACCTGGCAGGGGGCCGTAATTCTTACTATGCGACAGACCCCACATTATCCCCATTTGCTGTCTCACTTAATCCTCACAACACACCCTCAGAAAGATGCTGTTATTTCCATTGAAGGGAAGTGAGCCCTGGACAAGCTCCACAGTTTGCTCCTGGGTACGCAGCTGTAAACCGCCAGGGAAGATCTGTCTCCTGCACCCAAGGCCTGGGTTCTCTGTTTTTCCTGGCTGTCTGGCTGCCACCCCTGGTTTCAGAGGCCATCCCATGGCTAGTTTATCTCTTAGAACAGAAGGACATAGTCTGTGGAAATGGAGTAAAATAAAAAGGCAAACAAAAATTGGGGGCTATCTCCCCAGCACATGGCAGTTATGAAAAAGGCTATTTGGAGCAGAAGGGGCAATGTTATTTACCCCTTTCTCTTTTAAAGGGGAGTTGTGGGGGGGGCCTGGATGGCTTAGTCAGTCAGTCAAGCATCCGACTTCGGCTCAGGTCAGGATTTCAAGGTTCATGGGTTCAAGCCCCACATCGGGCTCTGTGCTGACAGCTCAGAGTTTGGAGCCTGCTTCAGATTCTGTGTCTTCCTCTCTGTCTGCCCCTCCCCTGCTTGTGCTCTGCCTCTCTCTGTCTCTCAAAATTGAATAAATGTTAAAAATATTTTGGGGGGCACCTGGGTGGCTCAGTCGGTTCCCCTGCTCACACTCTGTCTCTCAAAAATAAGTAAATGTAAAAAAAATTTTTTTTTTAAATTTTTTAAAAATAAAGTGGAGTTCTACCTGGAGAAGGCCTGGCTAAGAAACTAAAACTGCCAAGCTCAGTCTGGCAGGAAGCGCCCAGACATAGCTCTCTGCCGGGTTAAACAATCTGGGTGATTTGTTGCCTGATCATGCCTGAATCTTCTAACGGGTCCCTTATTCCTGAAGAATTAAGTATGCATTCCTTCTGATGATATGGGTTTTATGGTCTTCCATGGGGGATGGTTCAGGAGAAAACAATCTAAAGTAATTTTTTAAAAGTTTATTTATTTATTTTGAGAGACAGAGACAGTGTGAGTAGAGGAGGGGCAGAGAGAGGGAAGGAGAGAGAGAATCTCAAGCAGGCTCTGCCCTGTCAGCATGGAGCCCGATGCAGGGCTCAAACTCACAAAACTATGAGATCATGACCTGAGCGGAAACCAAGAGTTGGATGCTTAACTGACTGAGCCACCCGGGCGCCCCGCAATCTGAAGTGACTTAAGGAGACATAAATATTGCTGAAATCACTTAGGAGCTCACTGCAGGAGAAGCTGGGACAGAGAGCCCAGCTGGGGAAACAGTAAGAACAACGACATTTTTCTCACCCTGTCCTGTCCTGTCTTACCAAGAACCATGGTGAACAAAACTGAAGCTTAAGAATCGTCCTGATTTCTCCCTTCTCTCCATTTCCTACACCCATTCCATCAGCAAGTCTTCATGTTTCCATTTCCAAAACAGAAAATTCTACCCATCTTTACAACCACTCCCCTATTCCTTGCCACTAACATCTGCCCACAGGGCCACTGCAGAAGCCTCTGAAATGGCCTTGGACTCTGGCCTCCTTGCAGTCCATTCTCCTGTTAATGTTCTTTTGGCAGTTATCACCCTCTTAAATTACTGTGACAACTTGTTTCTCTGTGTTTGTTTTTACTGTCTGTTTCCTTTGGTGGAACGCCAGCCCTGTTGGTCGTTGGTCTCGGTCGGGGACCAGCTCCACCTTATTTCTCCCTGTATGGCAACTTCTGACACAGTGAAGCTTCTTGGTAAATATGTCTGGAGGAAATTAACGTGTGACTGGATACGTAACTTTAAACATTAAGTCACATTTGTAATTTGCCTGCTCAGAAAATTCTCATGAGCCTGGCTTCCCAGACTGGTGGGGTGGCAAAGAGGACCTTCTGTATTTTGACAACTCCTGAAAAGAACACAAAAACACAATTTGGAGCAGGGGTTGCAAATACCAACGTGTGAGGGCTCAGGCAGGCAACACCAACCGGGAGGCTGTAAGTGTGTGTAAGCCGCAGTGAGTGGTGGGGCCTTGACAATCTAGAGACCCCCATAACCTCAACTAATGCAGCCTTACCAGCTCCAGCCAACTGTGGCCACGGGAGCCCCGGAGTGTAACCTCTCCCACGCTTTCAAAAGAAGATGGAACGTCTGTATATCAACTAGAATTGGGTTTGGCTGTGACTAATGACCTGAAATAGTAGCTTAAGTGAGGTAGAGGTGTATTTCTCACAAAAAGAGGTCTGGGGCATTCAGTCCTGGACTCATGGAGGCTCAGTGGAATGAGGGACCTGGACTTGTAATTTATTGCTCGGCTCAGCATGGCTTCCATTTCCAAGGTTACCTCATGACGACCCAGTGGACTGCTGTGGCTCCAGCCATTACTCCTCATTCCAGGAAGCAGGAAGGAAAAGGAGAAAAGAAAGAGCCTGCCCAATCTTTTATAATCTTTTTCCTAAATGGACATGTGCCCAGCTAAGAAAGAAGGGGAGAGTGGATATCGGAGTTCTAAACTAGAAGTCTCCACCAGAGCTGGCTTTTTCTGTGAAATTCTCAGGTTTTAACACCATGGCAGCCAAATGAAACATGTCTGCCATTTGGTTCAGCAGAGGAGCTGATGGTTTTGTGAACCCTGCTTAGGGGAGCAAATACGGAGGGGATACATTTCCGTGGCAGGTGGGATAGCCAGTGAGTGGGGCTGGCGAGGGTCATAATCAGGGCTTGAACAGGGAATCCAGACAGGGGTGTGTTCAGGTAGCCTGGGGGGAGGGGGGAGCACCGTGGAGGCAGCAGCGGGAAAGGGTGAGGAGGGAGGCACAGTCCTCCGCCTGGGCCTGGGCAGATCAGGGAGGCCTTTGGCTGCTGTCTTCTCTCATCTTGAGGTCTTAGCTCTTCTGACAGGTGCAATTCCACTCTCTCAGCTGTGATGTCTCTTTTCTTTCTGACCTTCACTGAAAGTGCTCTCTCACGCTAGGTTAGGGTCACCCTCTCTGAGGGATAAGGAAGCCTGAGTTAGGCCCAAACTCCCCAAGGCCTCTCCAGCCCTCTCCAGGCACTGCTGTTACCGTCTGACTGGGGCTTCGCTTCCTCTCAGGCTTGGTGATGCTTCCCCTCAAAATAGCTCAGTCTTCCAGGCACTTTACACCTTGTTGCGGGCAAGGCCCACACTACATTTGGGAAAATCCCTGGGTTTGGGGGCAGACTTCCCTCCCTTAAATCCCTTCTCCACAGTTTACTAGTTAAGTGACTATAAATACTTTCATCTGTAAACTGGAGAATAGTGTTCTCTTTATCTACTACATAAGGCTTTTTGAAGGGTTCACAGAGATCACTTATATATATATAAAACCTTTTTATCAAAGGAGAACAAGTCTAAATAGCTCTAAAGATAAATTTAAGGTTCCAGTAAAGACTCTCTGTATTGCCTGTATGTTTGAAATTGATGACTTTATTGACACAAACTTTGCAATAGAAAGTGTTAACGTTGATAGGAGAGTGGGAATCAGTTCTTGTTTCATACACACGTGAAAAAGTTGCAGATGAATTTCCAGTAACGTGGTTTAACTTCTGATCACTACCTTTGTGGAATCCAGACCGTGCCAGGGAGGGGAAGATCGTATACCCCTTCATTCTGTCTCCCCCAGAGTGAGACATTGTTTCTACATAAAACAGAGACCCCCCCTCTCCAGTTAACACATCCCACACAAGGTGCAGCATTTCCATGAGGCACAAGCGAGGCTGTAGAGAGAAACTGGTGTCGTCCGCGGCAGACAGGGGCATGGCTGGGGAAGGAGCACCCCACACAGAAACACGTGCCCTGGGAGAACGAGCCCTTGAACCTGCAGGATCATGGCCAACTTCTGGCAGTTGGGGTCTCCTGCAGAGTAATGCCAGTGGGGCCATCAGAGCCACAGGTGTTGCTTGTATTGTATTATTATTTAATATACAGAACAATGAAGTTCCTTAAAAAGTCCTTTCTCAAAGAATCAAAATGATAGAAGTTTGGGAAAACTGTAGTTTTTCATATGGTAAAAGGGCTTGTGCAGTGATTACAGAGCACCCAGAGCTGGTCTAGGAGAGAGGGCTACCCTGAATGTAAAAGTGAGAGTTCACCACACACCCTACCCCTTAGGGTCTAAGTTAGTCCCCTAGTTATGAAGTCCACTGTCAGATTCAGGATATGCAAGGGTGACTGGCTAGACTCAAATCTCTTAGCATCTGCAAGGTGCCTGGTGCAGGACTGGGAAGGAGGAAGGAAGGAGGGAAGGAAGGAAGGGAGAGAAGGAGGAATACTATTTGCTTGTGTTTGAGGAATAACAAAATTGGCAGGTAATGAGGCCAAGTTTCTAAATGTTAACCTACACATGTCAATTCTCTGGACCATATTATATAAACACACACCATCAGGCTGCCCATCTCTGCTAAACATGGAGTTTATTGGTATCATTTGGTACAACTTTAGTCCTACCTTTGCCAGTCCAGGCATGTTAACAATCCTTTAAAATTATGCTACGTTACTTTGGAGGAAGATACTTCCACCTGAACGTGTTTAAAGAAGTGTTAGATCATTTTAATCTATCAAAATATTTGTTTTTACTGCCTCTGATTTCTCACACGGTGCGCATCAGTCAATGTGACCGCACATCAACTAGGCACTGCCCTTCTAAAGCGATTCCTTCACGACAGCAAATGTCATAGTCCTCGCTCCGCATTGGAGGAACCAAAGCGAAGCCCTATGTGCCGCCAGTGTGTTCTGGATTATCTCCCTCATGTGAGCAGTGTTGACGCTTTGATTAACAATCGCAAATGACCCAACTGGAGAGAAGAAACACTCAAGAGCACAAGCAGGGAGAACTGGAACGCTCTGAAAACGCAGTGTGTGGCTGAGCCCTGCGGGCCGTACTGGTTGGATGAGTGGACCACGGTGACCACGACGTTGTGGTACGGAGGCTGACATGGACACCAGTACGGGGGGGGGGGGACACTGAAGGCAGAGGAGAAACGGGTGTGACCGCATCACAGAGACCTCTCAAAACACGATGCGAGTTTGGGGGGGGCGGTTGAGTTTGTGTGAAACCGGATCTGAATCTGTCTCGTACTGAGCTCAGGAAACCGGTGTAACAGCGGGTTTCCCTGTTCCTTGATTTCTCCTAGATCTGGGTTTACAGGTGGGCGAAAGACGGCTTTGAAGTGAACGCGGTAAGCTTTCTGACGGTGGCATTCAGAAAGAAAGAACGGATGGACAGGCTGACCGTGACAGCGCACACGGCCGCGGCCGGGGGGCTCGGAGCCCACCTGTGCATCGCTCACCCAGGAACTGCGCTCGGACTACTGGCCTCTGTGTCACAAACCTGCCTGCGGCTTCGCTCACCACTTTTACATCAGACCGTGCTGCAGGAGTTGCAAAGAGGCAAAGTGACTGCACGTTTGCAGCTATCTACCACATGTGAGCCCTGTGCCAGCACAGTTCTGGGGTGAGCAGGAGGCCGAGAAGGTCCCCGCAGCCCCGGTGGCCGCTGGCTGCCAGGTAGGACAGTCTCTCAAGGCACTCAGCAGCGTTCACCTCCAGCAAGGGCCAGCCGCTTCCTCAAGACCCCTCGATGGGCTCCAGTGTGTGGAGGGCACCGAAGATGTCCGTCTGCACTTGCAGGTGAACGCTCTGCTAGTTAACACAGTTCTTCGTGATTCTTCGACTTCTGTCCACCTGCCGGATACTGTCTGTAACATTAATGGTGACTTCTTTTGCAGACATTCGCTTGGCATCTCTTTTAGCCTGTTAAAAAGGTTAACACCGTGTATCGAGTTAGTGGAAAATATCTGAATTTGCATTAATCTCTTGAGATTGCTACACACACACACACACACACACACACACACACACACACAGGCAAGAAGAATGACCCACAAGAACACATGCACATATACTCCTTTTCAAAGGTTTCTCTGTTGAAACTCTAATGCTGACCTAGCTCAGAGCCTGGATATTGGCAAGTTCAGTAAAACCCTGTTGAATGAATGCATTAATTATCGAAGGTCCATCAAAGGGTAATGTGAGAGGTTTCACAGCCAGCTTTACTATGGCAGTGAAGGGGTTGCGCTTTGGAGCCAGACAGGCGTGTAGTTAAATAATAACTAGATAATTTCACTATAAGCAAGCTTTTTTCTTTTTTAAATATTTCCTTTTCATCATAGAGTCTTTGTTTTTTTTTTTTTTTAAGTTTATTTACTTATTTTTGAGAGAGCGTGAGTGGAAAATGGGCAGAGAGAGGGAGAGAGAGAGAGAGAATCCCAAACAGGCTTTGCACTGTCACCATAGAGCCCATTCAGGGTTCGAACCCACTAAGCCCTGAGATCATGGCCTGAGCCAAAACCAAGAGTCAGATGCTTAACCAACTGAGCCACTCACGTGCCCCTGAGCAAGTTTCTTCTAACTCAACCCTCAGTTTTCTCACCTGTAAAATGGCGGATAATAACGGTATCTACCTCACAAGATTATTGTAAGCATTAAATAAGGTCATGCTTTGGGGTTCTCAGAATAATGCCGGTTGCTAAATAAACTTGACAATAAAAAAAAGATTCGGTAAGTATAATAAGTAAAAAGGAAGATAGATTATCTGCTTCTAAGTGAAGATAAGCCAATGATCAAATTCCAGAATTCATATTTAACACTATAATGCCGACTGAACTGTAGGCTCTTGTACGCTACGTGCCACACCTCAAGAGTTAATGTTAACTAGTGGGGAGTGATTTTTGTGCCCATTTTGCTCAACTGTACCCTTGGAGGGAGCGGAGGAATAGAGGTGAGAGGGATCTTGTGAGTCGTCTCCACCTCCGCAGTGGATCTGTGCTGCCCCATCCCCAGTCCTGGGAGACCTGCTGCCTAGCTACTAGGAGTGCAATCAGTAAATCATGTCCACTTGGCCCCTTCGGGTGCCTCAGCTACAGAAAGTCCCCTTACCCCGGGTCATGGTGGCCCGATGCAGGGGTATGAAGGCCTGGCCATTTTGGCGCAAAGCAGGCCATCCCTGACCAGCCACTTAGCTCCAGGGCTCCCGGTGGGGCGGGCTCAGCTGTGGCTACTGCTAGGCCTGTGTCTGGTTCATCTGTCCCTCTGCCCACTCCTGCTGCCATCCCTCCCGTCCGCAGGGGTTGACAAGGCATTTCCCCATGAGCATCCTGTATAATGTCTGCTTCCTGGAAAACACAGCCTCAGATCTGCAGAAGCATCTCCTGGGGCGAGAGCGCCTCCCTGCTGGGTGTGGATGTTGATGGATGCCTGTTTTTAACACAATATGGCGCCACGAATACAAGCAACAGCTTCGTCTGTAACACGTCCAAAGAAATGATGGACTAGTGCACCGTTGGAGAAAAATTAATTGCCTGGTTCATTTACTAACAAACGATATGTAGTTTGTAACATGTCGCATAAATCCCTTGTAATAGCTGCTGGAGACGACCCCTGCAGACTCTTTCCGCCTGGTGCGTCCATCCCCCAGATGCTGTGAGTGTTGCCTGCTAACTGCTCCCAGGAGCACCCATTTTTTAAGACTTGCTCTCATCTGATCAGAGCCACCTTTTTAAAAATTGTTATATTTATTTATTTTCCTTAGTTTACTGTCAAATTGGTTTACATATAACACCCAGTGCTCATCCCAACAAGTGCCCTCCTCCATGCCCATCACCCCCCATTCCCTCTCCCCCACCCCCATCAGCCCTCGATTTGTTCTCAGCGTTCAAGAGTCTCTCATGGTTTGCCTCCCTCCCTCTCCCAAACTATTTTTCCCCCTCTTCTCCCGCATCATCCTAAGTTAACTTCTTCCTAATCCACCTATACGTGCAAACATGGTATCTGTCCTTCTCTACCTGACTTATTTCACTCAGCATAACACCCTCCCTCTAGTTCCATCCATGTTGCTACACAAGGCCAGGTTTCATTCTTTCTCATTGCCATGTAGTATTCCATTGTATAGATAAACCGCATCTTCTTGATCCATTTGTCAGGTGATGGACATTTAGGCTGTTTCCATGATTTGGCTATTGTTGACAGTGCTGCTATAACATGGGGTACATGTGCCCCTATGCAGCTGCACTCCTGTATCCCATGGGTAAATTCCTAGCAGTGCTATTGCTGGGTCCTAGGGGAGGTCTAGTGTTAATTTTTTGAGGAACCTCCACACTGTTTCCCAGAGGGGCTGCACCAGCTTACATTCCCACCAGCAGTGTAGGAGGGTGCCCATTTCTCCACATGCTTGCCAGCATCTAGAGTCTCCTGATTTGTTCATTTTAGCCACTCTTGAGTGGCTTGAGGTGGTATCTCAGTGTGGTTTTGATTTGTATTTCCCTGATGAGGAGGGACGCTGAGCATTGTTTCATGTATCTGTTGGCCATCTGGATGTCCTCTCTGGAGAAGTGTCTGTTCATGTCTTCTTCCCATTTCTTCACTGGATTATTTGGTTTTTGGGTGTGGAGTTTGATGAGTTCCTTATAGATATTGGATACTAGCCCTTTATCTGATATGTCATTTGCAACTATCTTTTTCCATTCCGTCAGTTGCATATTAGTTTTATTGATTGTTTCCTTTCCTGTGCAGAAGTTTTTTACCTTGATGAGGTCCCAGTAGTTCACTTTTGCTCTTGATTCCCTTGCCTTTGGGGATGTGTCAAGTAAGAAAGTGCTGCAGTTGAAGTCAAGGAGGTTTTTTCCTGCTTTCTCTTCTAGGGTTTTGATGGTTTTCTCTCACCTTCACGTCCTTCATCCATTTGGAGTTATTTTTGTGTATGGTGTGAGAAAGTGATCTGGTTTCATTCTTCTGCATGTTGCTGTCCAGTTCTCCCAGCTCCATCTGTTAAAGAGGCTGTCTTCTTTCCATTGGATGCTCTCCCCCGCTTTGTCAAAGATTAGTTGGCCATGCATTTGTGGGTCCAATTCTGAGTTCTCTATTCTATTCCATTGGTCTATGTGTCTGTTTTTGTGCCAATACCCTACTGTCTTGATGATTACAGCTTTGTAGTCAAGGCTAAAGTCTGGGATGGTGATGCCTCCTGTTTTGATTTCCTTCTTTAATATTTACTTTGGCTATTCAGGGTCTTCTGTGGTTCCTTACGAATTTTAGGATAGTTTGTTCTAGTTTTGAGAAGAAAGCTGGTGCAGTTTTGATTGGGATTGCATTGAATGTGTAGATTGCTTTGGGTAGTAATGACATTTTAACAATCTTTATTCTTCCAACCCATGAGCATGGAACATTTTTCCATTTCTTTGTGTCTTCTTCGATTTCCTTCTTAAGTTTTCTATAGTTCTCATCATACAGATCTTTTACATCTTTGGTTAGGCTTATTCCTAGGTATTTTATGTTTTTTTTGTGTGGTTGTGAATGGGATCAGTTTCTTGATTTCTCTTTCTGTTGCTTCATTATTGGTGTATAAAAATGCAACCGATTTCTGTATGTTGATTTTGTATCCTGCAACATTGCTGAATTCTTGGATCAGTTCTAGTAGGCTTCTGGTGGAGTCTGTCAGGTTTTCTATGTAGAGTATCATGTCGTCTGCGAAGAGTGAAAGTTTGACTTCTTTGCCATCTCTGATGCTTTTATTTCCTTTTGTTGTCTGACTGCTGATGCTAGGACTTCCAGCACTATGTTAAATAACAGTGGTGGGAGTGGACAGCCCTGTCGTGTTCCTGGTCTCAGGGGGAAAGCTCTCAGTTTTTCCCCATTGAGGATGATGTTAGCTGAAGGCTTCTCATAGATGGCTTTTTTGACGTTTAGGTAAGTTCCTTCTATCCCGACTTTCTTCCAGGGTCTTTATTAAGAAAGGATGCTGTATCTTGTCAAATGCTTTTTCTGCATCTATTGACAGGATCATATGGTTTTAATCTTTTCTTTTGTTAATGTTATGCATCACTTGGACTGATTTTCAAATATTGAACGAGCCCTGTAACCCAGGAATGAATCCCACTTGATCATGGTGGATAATTCTTTTTATGTGCTGTTGGATTCGATTTGCAAGTTTCTTGTGGAGGATTTTTGCATCTGTATTCATCAAGGATCTTGGCCTGTAGTTCTCTTTTTTTTCTGGGTCTCTGTCTGGCTTGGGAATCAAAGTGATGCTGGCTTCATAAAATGAGTCCGGAAGTTTTCCTTCTATTTCTATTTTTTGGAATAGCTTGAGAAGAATGGGTATTAATTCTGTTTTAAATGTCTGGTAGAATTCCCCAGGGAAGCCATCTGGCCAAGGGTTCTTATTTGTTGGGAGATTTTTGATAACTGATTCGATTTCCTCACTAGTTATGGGTCTGTTCTGATTTTCTGTCTCTTCCCGTGTTTAGTGAGTGTGTGTTTAGGAATTTGTCCGTTTCTTCTAAGTTGTCTAGTTTGTTCTTCTAGTTGTCCAGTTTCATAGTATTCTCTGATAATTGCTTGTATTTCTGAGGATTTGGTTGTAATAAGTCCTTTTTCACTCATGATTTTGTCTACTTGACTGCTCTCTCTTTTCTTTTTGAGAAGCCTGGCTAGAGGTTTGTCAATTTTGTTTATTTTTTCAAAAAACCAACTCTTGGTTTCGTTGATCTGTTCAACTGTGTTTTTGGATTCTACATTGTGTATTTCTGCCCTGATTTTTATTATTTCTCTTCTCCTACTGGGTTTTGGGTGCTCTTGCTGCTCTCCTTCTAGTTCCTTTAGGTGAGCTGTTAGATTTTGTACTTGTGCTTTTTCTAATTTCTTTAAATAGGCCTGGAGTGCAATGTACTTTCCTCTTAGGACTACCTTTGCCACAT